ATGAAAATTAGTCAACTTCAGTCCATGCACAAACCCAACTTTTTGTCTCAGAAACAGTCACATGCTGCAGGATCAGCTCTTCTGCTACGCAGCTTGGGAAAGAATAAACTTATATGGCAACATTAACAAATCATTCACCTTCTCCCTTCCCGCCAAAGAAAGGGCAGCTTGTTCTCATAACCGTTTGAGTCACTGATCTGTACTGGGACAGGAACAAGTGCCAGCGTTTAAAGAGCAGAAAATTACTGTGTTTACAAAGGAGAATTAAAAAATAATAATAAAGCAAAACAATCAAAGCCCTGTACTGAAGCAAACCATGGAAAGCAAACACACTGAAGACAAGTCTCTGAGGAAACATAAGGCAGAGCACCAGAGCACGAGGCAGGGCTGGAGGCCTGCTCCCTAGTCACCCACCAAGAGCCACCTCGACTTCAGGAACAAAACTCAAGCCCCACAGGTCTCTCTCAGTTTGAGGGCTGACCCAAGAGCTCCCTCATCTCAAGGCTTGGAACAATTTTGGAAGGTCAAGGCACACTGAGAAGGTGGAAGACTCACCCTGGCCCTGCAGGATGGTGAAATGTAGTAGTAATTCCCAGAATCCCCTAGCATGATGCGGTGCTTGCAGGTCCTGGGGAGGCCACTCAGAGCACATTTCCTACAGGCAAAGAAAAAAAAACCAAAACCACTTCAGCAATGTAGCGGTGCAGCAGAGCACAGCAATTCAACAGCCTCAAGACTGTCCCCCAGAGGTGGAAGTGGGAGCTCAGAAGCCAGACCTGTGTCAGTCAGCATGAAGAAGAGAAAAACCCATGGCTGATACGAGCCTTTTCCTCCTAGAAAGATTCCATAAATGGCAAGTTTAGGAGACCTTAAGCTAAGTATCTGGAACCATGAATTAGTCCACGCCCAAGCAAACCAAGGCTGTACCTTTTCCCTGGCAGACAGCCCAAGAAAAAAAAACATAAAACCAAACACAGAAAATATTAAAGAGGTGAGGCTGGAGCAGAGTGTAACCAATGTCTTCTGGTCTCTGCACATCTCCTCCATGTTCCAGGCAAGGCTTTTACTGAAGGAGCTCTGCTCAGGTGTATCAGCTTTCCTGATGGAATGCAAACATGCTCAGCTCCCAGGGAAATCACCAAAAGACGTTATCTTTTGGTGCAGGATGCCTCTATTTTCTTGCCATTTCCTTCTGTTATTTGGAAGAGGAATATGGTTCCCAGCACCAGCCAGTTGCCCTTCATCAACACTTCCCCGGTGGCTTAGTGCCTGCATGGTGGGAAGAGGGGCATCATTCCCCAAATGCAAAAAAAAATCGCTCTGTGAGCCATGGAAGATCACAAAAGAAAGCAGCAGATGTTTCAGAGAGCTTCTGAGCAGGTCTCTGTGCCTGCCTTCTACTGCTATCAAGGCAAATATTGGCCAAGACTGGAAGCATGGGCTGTAAGTAGCAACGAGAAGTAAACATTGACCAAATATTAACACAACTTAAGGAAATTAAATCCTCAGAAGGTGCAGGATGACTGATAATACTTTTGTAAACAAGATACCTTTAAGAGGCCCCAAATTTGACCCTTGCAGCATACTGGGGGGGGGAAAAAAAAAAAAAGAAGAAAGAAAGAATCCTGCTGGTCACTCCTGGCTGGGTTGGTGCCACGTGGTGTAACCCCGGCTATCACAACCGTAGCTAGAAGTAACCTAAGCTGCAGCATTTGGACCCCTGCCCTTCAGCACTCTACAGAGCCCAGGGCATTTTGGTGGACATGCCATGGTGAAAGCCAGTTGTCCCCAGCACCTCCTGGCCAGCTGATGCCGTACAGGCAGCGTCACATAGTGGCCAACTCAGTCCCTGCCTCTCTAGACTCCTCAAACAGTTGCACTGAGGTCTGTACGTAGGGTACAGACAAGTAGATCTGGTAGGTCCCAGCTTGGGCAGGAACCCCAGCTTTCTCCTTTCTGGTCCACACCATGTCCAAAGGGCCACAAAGATCAGCAGTTTGCACTTGGGGAACAAATTCCTTTCAGGTCCTTTATTGCCAATAGCAAGCTGCCTTACCATCCTGTCTGGGTGGAGATTAAACAAGGTTAAAAAGTTAGCTTAGCTCAGCTCTAGCCTCAACGCTGCTAAACTGCACTAAGTTAGTAACTTGTTAATGGATTAGAGGTCTTTGATCACTGACTGAAAAATAAATACTTCACTTACGTTACAATTTGTGACCGGAACCCACTGTGAAGACACAAACAAAAAGAAAAATCAAAAGGAAACCGATAAGGATAAACACAGGATGGGCTGTTCTTGGAACAGGCCTGACACATACGCATGGAACAATTTGCCTAGAGATGACAGAAAACGCAGAAGAGAGGGGTAGGAAACCTTCACGTGAGCAGCATTTACTGTTACAGGAACACCTTTACTTAGAAGGTGCTCTGCTTGAAGGTAAGGGAGGGAAGAACGAAGAGAGAGAGCCCTGACTGAACTTCAATTCAATAGCTGAATGAAATCTCCCATCTTTGTCTGGAATACCATATCACTCCTGCTAGCATTCCTCTTCTTTGAGGCCACCTCAAGTTGTCCATCACATCAGATACAGTCACACAAGCTCTGGAGCAGCCACAGCCCCAGTTCTGATGGCAAGGTGACAGCACCAGGTGGGGAAGATGGTATGTGGCAAGAGGAGCTCTCTCCTGACCTAGGCTCAAACCTACCTGGTGCACCAGCAAGGCCAACTCAAACTTCACAAGATGCAAGAACATAAGATAATGCAGCTCTGACTTCCACCCTGGGTTATGCACAAACACACCTTCAGAGAACACGAAGCAAGTTGCTACCTTAAGAGGAAAAAAACCCAAGCCCTCTCCCCCAAGCCAAGGGCACAATCAGGTTATCCCCCAGAACAGGCAGACAGAGGACATCAGCTGAGCTGAGCTAATTCCCCTTCTCACCTAGAGCTGAGCTGAACTACCACTGGTCAGAGGCTAGGAGAAGACCCAGCTGAGCCCTTTGAACTGTTCAACTCCACTGACTGAGCAAGGCCTGGCCAAACTCCACGAGATGCTACAAAAAGGCCAGGAGCAAGGAGAGGACAAGAGAGCACAAGCACAGTTCCTTACTTTGGTCCACCACGCTCTTCTGCTGACACCTTCACCACAGGCAATGTCTGGGAAGCAACTGGCTCAATGGTGAGTGTGTTCTGCTCCACAGCCACTCGCACCAGCTCCGACAGCTGTGGCAAAGAGAAACGAGGGCGGGTAGGAACGGGCAAAGGCCACCTCCACAAAGGTGCTGCCAGCCTGGGAGGTTTTTGTCCTCCTTTCCCAGCACTCACCTCCTGCTTAGTGAAGTCCAGACAAGGTCCTACATCTTCTCGATAAATTCTGTCCAGGAAAGAGCAGGATTTATCCAAAGTTGGAGATTCCTTCCAGGCCTGGAACTCAGCAAATAAAATGGAGTCGACCTGCAACAAGTGTCCAAGAGGAGCAGGAAGAGGGAAGGTGGGTTGAGGGTGAGATACCGTATCAGAAGGTATCTGTTACTACACAGGTAAGAACTATGAAACATCTGCTTTGGCATCTAGAAAGGCTGAGACATCACAGAAGTGTCTGAGGGAAGCTGGCTTGCTCCAAGGATCTTTCATCTCCCAGCTCTCAGCAGTTCTGTGCCAGACTGACACAGCCACCCTGGGCTTATTCGGCCAGAAACCTGCAGGCACCTCTCTATCCCATCTTCCTCCAGGGCAGGGCAGCACCTCTGCTGCAGGAAAGCTACCACACAACCACGGAACAGACCAAGTGCCCACTCAGCCCACGGCAGGAATGGCGAGAGCAGCTGAACGGCAAAGCACAGTGGCAACGGCACCCAGGACACAGGAGGCAGAACCCTTTTGTGAGGGAAGAATTACTGCAGAAAAGGATGAGTTGGAAAAAGCTATGAGTGATCAGCCATCAGCAGGACTACATTCAGTGAGCCCAAGTATGAGCTCACAGGGTATGCCAGCCCTTTACAGACCCCTCCTAGCCCAGAACACTGGTGTCTGGGGAGTCGCAGAAGTAATGGGAACACTGGGCAGGCGCCCAGGCTTGCGGAGG